CACCAGCCTTGGGGGTCTGGACCCCCCCCCACCTTCCCAGGAGATCGTCCTGGTCGGGGTCCTTGTCAAAAAGCTCCACCTCCAGCTCCTGCCCCGGCACCTCGTGCACGATGAACTTTTTTGGGGGGGGACAGGGTCAGAAACGGGGGGGACACCACACACAGGGGGTGTCCCCCCCCCACCCAGCACAGCCCCACACTATGGGGGTCCCCTGCCCCCCCACAGCCTGGCTGGAGGGTCCCTGTGGAGGGTCCTCACAACCCCAGCTGGTCTTGGGGGGGGTGATGGGGAGGGTTTTGGGGGGGTGTCTCACCTCGTAGACCTCGTCCCAGGTGGGGTTGAGGTTGTTGTCGATGACGCGGCTGGTGAAGACCTGGGTGCCCACCCGCAGGACGGCGTAGGGGTCCGACTTGCCCTCCACCAACCCCCCCATGAAACGGTCCTTGGAGCGAAGGTCCCGGGCGGCCCGAAGGTGCACCCTCACGACGCCCTGCGAGGTGGAGGGGGGGTCAAAAATAGTGTGAGCAGCAGAAGTAGGGAGGTGATTGTGCCCCTGGACTCAGCACTGGGGAGGCCACAGCTCGAGTGTTGTGTCCAGTTTTGGGCACCTCAATCCAAGAGAGATCTGGAGGTGCTGGAGCGAGGGCAGAGGAGGGCAACGAAGCTGGTGAGGGGGCTGGAGAACAAATCCTGAGGGAGTTGGGACTGTTTAATATGAGGAAGAGGAGGCTGAGGGGAGACCTCATCACTCTCTACAACTACATGAAAGTCTGATGAGGAGAGGCTGAGGGAGCTGGGGGTGTTCAGCCTGGAGAAGAGGAGGCTGAGGGGAGACCTTCTTGCTCTCTCCAACTCCCTGAAAGGAGGGGGTAGAGAGATGGGGGTCGGTCTCTTCTCTCAAGTCACAGGCGACAGGACGAGAGGAAATGGCCTCAAGTTGCCCCAGGGGAGGTTCAGGCTGGATATTAGGAAACATTTTTTTCCCTGAAAGGGTTCTCAGGCATTGGAATGGGCTGCCCAGGGAGGGGGTTGAGGCCCCATCCCTGGCAGGGTTCCAAA